AGCATATAATTAGTATCGTCAAGTGAAACGGCGAATACATGCTTGTGTCATCTGCCCAGTGATCTACCCATGGCTGTGAAGCGGAGCTGTTGCCTCACCAAATTGTTCACAATTCAGGTTCGAATCCCGTCGGGGCGAGGTCGAAACTCCACTACGGGCTGGATTAGAAAGCCCATTTGGTGCATCTTGTCAGGTCAAATATGCTCGTGGGAAAAATCCCATCATGTGATCTAGGGTGACTGTATTCGAATCTTTGCACAGATCACATCAGATCATCATGTTCACTTACAACTATGCACATACATACATGCATATATGTATATCCACACCTTATTCGCAACTTTCGCGCCAGCATGTGAAAAGTGCCAATGCGACAGGAGTACATCTTTCCTATTCAGCCCTACATGCATGCTCCGTGAAGCGCTTATTGGTACAACAATGTAAACCATCTATCAAAATGGTCTGCACTTTTTACCAGAATTCGGTAGATATATTTGGACGTGTATGTTGCCCATCCTACAGAAGTCCAATTATGACTGGCAAGCTGGTCGACTTGTGAAACCCAAACCGATCGTTCAAACCAACTTCCTTGAATCGAATATTCAGGAGATACTGGAGCCCCAAAAGTGTCTCTGGTATTAGCAGAAGCCCCATTTCGTTGGAAATGTGGCAGCAACCAATTCTCCACGTAATTAGACAGGCAGACAGGCCTACATTTATATGGACATATATACATGCATACAGGCAAGCGCGCAAATATACATACATACGTGCATACAAATACACACGCACACTTTCGCGAAATTGTGCATCCTCTTTGTTCAAGGGGTCCCAATGTCTGCGAGCCCTTTTGTCTCGAGGTTTTGTCACAAAGTGGAGGCCAGTGGCGACAACAATGGAATGTTAAAATTGGTGTTTTCCTTCTTTTCTCCGATCCCTCCAAACCGTCGTCCCTCAGCCACAGTCGCGACGACGACCAGCTCGACCAAATGAGTCAGGGGCTTGGATGTGTCAGGCTCTTTCTATATGTCTACCCATCTATCCATCTATCGCGCCTTGCCATACATGTCTCAGTGTGTTTGGATGAGTAGCCAGAGGGTACCAGCCCTCAAAGTCGACATGGACAAAGTTGGTGTGGTCTTGTTTCACAATCTTCCCACTCTCATTACACACAATGCGGCAGGTCCATTACGTGCACACGCCCCCTTGGCTTCTCGCCTCCACTCACAAATCCACTGGCCGGGACAACGTGGGTTCACAAAACAATTACTGGCATTATCGCTTCAAGAAGCTTGGTTTACTGCAAAATCCCATTCGCGTGCCACACACTTCGACCTGCTTTCTTGCCTATCCCCTCAACTCGTCAAGCCCAAAAGGTCTCGGCTTGGGTCAAATTGTGGGCAAGCCCAATGTCCACACCAAAGGTTTGCCCACGCCCTACGGCCAAACTGGGTTAACGAGCCTTCTCTTATAGCTTTCAAAGCATGCAGAGAGAGAAAAATAAAAACTGCGAATTCAGTGCGCTATGAAAGGAGTAACGAGAGAGAGAGAGAGAGAGAGAGAGGGAAGAGTAAGAGTGAATTTGTAGGTGGCTGTATGAAAATGAGTTAGCACGTGAACAAATGGATACAAGTGTAAGTGTGCATTGTGTATATGTATGCTTGTGTGTTGCCAGCACGACCGGGTATCGCGGGGTTTAGTCAAGCCAAGTGCTAATTGGAAGGGCTGGATCAAACGAAATCTCAGATAAAACAACTTCTGTCTTGCAAGTGGGTCTGTACATCCTCCGCGTCTGTGATGGCGGATTGCACTCACACAATG